GGAAGAAAAGAAGTTTCATGTGCCCACATTTGATGTGTTTACTTGTTAAAGAGAAAACTGTATTGCTATAATCTGTCTGTCTATTCACTTGAAGGACAGTGTTATCTATGGAATAAACAGAGGTCAAAAAGGGAAGCTGTCTTTAATTATACCTAATCTCTTTACCAAATGCAGTTTAGAATGTATCCTTGTTATCTGATACCTGCAGCGGTCAGAACAAGAACAAGTTTATTCCAACTGCATTGTTTAACTCTGTGTCTTCGAGCGCGACCACAAAGACTATGGATCAGTAGTTTCTTGAACCCCGACACACCCGGATTGAGTGTAATAATATGCATTCAGCAATTGAATTTGCAAAGAAGCATACGTCAGGATATTGTAGTTTACATGGAAAGGCGTTCAAATCCATGCTCTGTCATATACCTATGAAGCATTGGTATTTTTTGGATATTAAGAACATTTCAAAATCGTACAACACAAACACCATTCTTGATGACAAAGGACAGCGGGTTCTACTGAATGATATCAAACATATACAACATACAAAAGAACAACCTGGGATAATCAAATTAATGGCATGTCCTTAAATCTTCCTTCAGTACGATGAAGTGTGTACTAGCTTCTTGGAGAGACAACATTGGGTGATCGATGACTTGCCTTTGCCAAAACGATACACAGAACGACTTCCAATTACAGAACATAAAGGAAGGATCTTTGTTGTTTATATTCATCGCATATCATTCCTGAGGAGTACTTGCGATTTTATGAAATGTTCCCAAAAATCGAAAAAAATAACGGATAAATTACCTGAATCTGATGTCATCGAATATAACATTGACAGGGGATGGTGAATAGAATGAAAAGACATCTAAAAATCTAAAAAATATTCCTTAATGGATGATCACGATTACAAACGTATTATCAATTATCTTGATGCTTAAGAAAACAATGTAAAACATGCTATGATTCAAAGAATAAAAAGAAAGGGAGATTCTTCCTGCAATAACATGAGAAAAAATAACCTCAAATCATAAATTTCAAACAATTGAATAAAAGATTTTATAATGTAATATGATGCTAACCAGATAACACCTTTTTGTTAATAGTTTAAAAGAAATTATCTCTGCCAGAAGGGGCTATCTTCAGATAGCAACTTTTTGCTCATTATTATTGAGGTAAATTTCGCCGGCCAAAAGGAGCTATCGAGCATCCCGACCAAATATGGCAGTTTAAAAGACAGATATGACCAAAAGTACTGTACAGTAAAAAGTACTTATACAGGCCATCAATATTACCAAATAAAACATTCTCATGTAAAGCATGGTTAAAATATATATATTTAAAACCTTAAATCTCAATTATCTCGAAAAGTAAAAAAATCCAAATAGCACCTTCTGGCAATGAACCCTCTATATGTGATCAAGTTTCGGGTGGCTTACATGGGAAAATTTACCCATATAGTTAACCTTATCAATAACATGCTTCGTTTGACGTAAAAAAGGAAACCAGGACATGTCTGCTGACTGAATTTATAGACATGTTAACCAGCTTGATTTATCTTGAAAGCCTTAACCTTGTAGTTAGTATTCATCCTGACACGGTTTACATTAATACTAATGTACGTATACATTATCTTTTTCAGCCAAACATTGTTAGTTTATAACGTTAATAAGGGTTTTAAAGTTTCTTACTATTCCTTCATGGTCGAAAACACTTAAGGAATCGATTATTTTTACGTTTGGTACAAATGATGAGTTACAATTGGGTCTTCATCCCTAGATTCAGAGAAGGAGGTGATTTCTTGGCGAAGTGGAGATTCACCAGTTCTATTGGCAAAAGGAGGCGATCAGATGCTCTGCCGAAGGGAAGTCGTGTCAGTGATCGGAGATTGAAACTTATCCAGTTCGTCATTCAGCAAAGAAGAAGATTCTCTGATGTCTTGTCGCGACTCTGATTCCTGTGGAATAGTGTCTAGCATCACAATCATCTCCAATTCTGTGATTCTGATGACAAATTTATCAACTATACCGTCCTATAAGGTTAAACGACGACAATAACCACTGATGATGAGGGTAACGTTAAGGTCAAACGACGACGATAACCACGGACGATGAGGGTAACGCTAATGTCAAACGACGACAATTACCACTGATGATGAGGGTAACGCTAAGGTCAATCGACGACGATAACCACTGATGATGAGAGTAACGCTAAGGTCAAACGACGACAATAACCACGGATGATGAGGATAATGCTTAAGTCAAACGACGACGATAACAACTGATGATGAGGGTAACGCTAATGTCAAACGACGACGATAACCACTGATGATGAGGGAAACGCTAAGGTCAATCGACGACGATAACCATTGATGATGAGGGTAACGCTAATGCCAATCGACGACGATAACCCCTGATGATGAGGGTAACGCTAAGGTCAAACGACGACGATAACCACTGATGATGAGGGGAACGCTAAGGTCAATCGACGACGATAACCACTGATTATGAGGGTAACGCTAATGCCAATCGACGACGATAACCCCTGATGATGAGGGTAACGCTAAGGTCAATCGACGACGACAACCACTGATGATGAGGGTAACGCTAATGCCAATCGACGACGATAACCAATGATGATGAGGGTAACGCTAATGTCAAACGACGACAATAACCACTGATGATGATGGTAACGCTAATGTCAAACGACGATGATAACCACTGATGATGAGTGTAATGCTTATGTCAAACGACGACGATAACCACTGATGATGAGGGGAACGCTAATGCCAATCGACGACGATAACCACTGATGATGAGGGGAACGCTAAGGTCAATCGACGACGATAACCACTGATTATGAGGGTAACGCTAATGCCAATCGACGACGATAACCCCTGATGATGAGGGTAACGCTAAGGTCAAACGACGACGATAACCACTGATGATGAGGGTAACGCTAAGGTCAATCGACGACGACAACCACTGATGATGAGGGTAACGCTAATGCCAATCGACGACGATAACCCCTGATGATGAGGGTAACGCTAAGGTCAAACGACGACGATAACCACTGATGATGAGGGTAACGCTAATGCCAAACGACGACGATAACCACTGATGATGAGGGTAACGCTAATGTCAATCGATGACGATATCCACTGATGAGGAGGGTAATTCTAAGGTCAATCGACGACGATAACCACTGATGATGAGTGTAACGCTAATGTCAAACAACGACGATAACCATTGATGATGAGGGTAACGCTAATGTCAAACGACGACGATATCCACTGATTATAGGGGTAATGCTAAGGTCAAACAACAACGATACCCACTGATGATGAGTGTAACGCTAATGTCAAACGACGACAATAACCATTGATGATGAGGGTAACGCTAATGTCAAACGACGACATTAACCACTGATGATGAGGGTAACGCTAATGTCAAACGACGACGATAACCACTGATAATTGGGGTAACGCTAAGGTCAAACGACGATGATAACCACTGATGATGAGTGTAACGCTAATGTCAAACGACGACGATAACCACTGATGATGAGTGTAACGCTAAGGTCAAACGACGACGATAACCACTGATGATGAGGGTAACGCTAATGTCAATCGATTACGATATCCACTGATGAGGAGGGTAACGCTAAGGTCAATCGACGACGATAACCACTGATGATGAGGAAAATGATTTAGTCAAACGACGACGATAACCACTGATTATGGGGGTAACGCTAAGGTCAAACGACGACGATAACCACTGATGATGAGGGTAACGCTAATGTCAAACGACGACGATATCCACTGATTATGGGGTAATGCTAAGGTCAAACAACGACGATAACCACTGATGATGAGTGTAACGCTAATGTCAAACGACGACGATAACCACTGATGATGAGGGTAACGCTAATGTCAATAGATGACGATATCCACTGATGATGAGGGTAACGCTAAGGTCAAACGACGACGATAACTACTGATGATGAGGGTAACGCTAAGGTCAATCGACCACGATAGCCACTGATGATGAGGATAACGCTAAGGTAAGAAGATTAAGTAAAAGATAGTACAATACATCAATTGATAGCTACATTAATTGGAACAGATATATTGAGTTAATACATAAAATACATGTCTTTTATTTATATTGGAGAATCTTTAGTTACACAATGAACTCTAAACACAACTTTGCAGCTTGTATGATTTCTTTATTGTAAAATATTTTATATCACGAGATGTCTGATCTGCTGGTTGACTGTTTATAACCGAAGTTGGCCATAACCTTGAAGATTGATTTATCGATTTACATGAAAAACCTTGTTTAACTGTTTATCCAAAGCGGTAAAGTACTGTTATAGATAATTTTATAAAGTAACCTTCCCCATAACATCATATGTCTAAAAATGTAAAGTTAACTGTTTTATCCGAAGGTGAAAAGTACCGTAATAAATAACTTGTAACCTTTCCCCATAGCACTATATGGCTAAAGATTTTGAGTTAACTGAAGGTGAAAAGTACCGTTATAAATAACTTGTGACCTTTCCCCATAACTCTGTATGTATACATATGTTGGGTAGTTATTTCATCCGAAGATGTTAAGAACCATTATCAATTATTTTGAAGAATAACCTTTCCCCATAACTCTATGTGTCTACATATGTTCGGAACATATAAACATATACTTTTTCATGCAATTGTGATTCAGTACCACCTTTGAGTCTTTAATGAACGAAATATTCATGAGACGCATTTAAATGTTCGCGTTGTTTTGCTTTATTTCATCGACTCCTTATAATGGATTAAATAAACACATTCTTCTCTTTATTCCAAGTGATTATATCTTTAATCAAAAAGGAGGTTTACTCTTTAGATGATAATCTAGTCGGAAACAACGCATGAAGCTCTTATTTTATCATGCCATGACCCACGCCTTGCCTTGAACGCTTGAGTTCTGCGTCAAACAAGATAAGAAAACAGATCAGAACAGAACAGGTATACGAGTGTTTATATAAACGATAAGATGTCTGCCATGTTTGTGAAGTTAATAGTGTTGTTTTATATTTCCGATTGCTTTGGACTTCTGAACGGAGAAAAACTTGACCTCGGAAAACTACCTCGTCAATGGCAGGACCTTGAGACCTTCGTTCATCAGAAATTTCAAGACGTGGATCGTTTGCTAATCGAAAAGGATGAACGCGTTGACCAGCTTCAATCAATCCTAACGAATCAGAAGGTTGAAATAACACAACTTAAACAGGGGATGGCAACATTGGAACAGGAAATATTACATAAAGACGGTATAGTTAATAGATTAGTGAACAGAATAACAGAATTGGAGACGATTGTGATGCTAGACACTATTCCACAGGAACCAGAGTCGCGACAAGACATCAGACAATCTACCTCTTTTATGAATGACGGACTGGTTAGGTTTCAATCTCCGATCACTGACACGACTTCCCTTCGACAGAGTATCGGATCGCCTCCCTCTGCCAATAGAACTGGCGAATCTCCACTTCGCCAAGACTTCACGTCCGACTCTGAATTTAGGGATGAAATACTTGCTGACCCACCTGCCTCTCAACAAATTTTAGTCAAGTCTGAAAACGAAGCTGAGGACGTTTCTAGGACCAGTTTCCCGAGACTTCAACAAAAACGTGAGTACAAAAAACAAAATGTGCAACATATGGTGTTGTTTCCACTGTTTAAATTGGATTATATTTCACATCCAAACATTCAATAAACAGTACTTACCTTTAAGATAAAATATTAAATGTTGGAACACCCCGTTGAAAAGTAAAACATCAAGGATATTTACATTACGTGTGGCAGGATACAAATAGCTTCCGAAATAGGGAACAGGAATGTAAAAACCATTAACTTCTTTTATGAGTTTGATTATGCTAATGGTTTATCATGATATGCTATTAATACGTGTGATTTTCCTGTCGTCGTATGTTGACAGATGGTTGTTCTAAATATTGCGTGGTTCTGACACAATGCTACTGTTACTTTTACTTTTTACAAAATATAGATTAATTTGACGTTTCCTGTGAGATTTGGTATTTCTGTTTATCTTTTGCTTGTACCTGAAAAGTGTCTTTTTTATACGTGAAAGAAGTTACATCTTATTTTTGTAACATAACATTAGTCTGTCAAATGTAACAAAATGTTAAATGTTTTCTTGTTTTTTAGGTGTCGCTCCTTCTTCTCAGACTCCCAGGCAAACGATAGCGTTCCATGTATCCCTTTCTACGGATAAAGAGTATCACGAGGATAGCACGGTCGTGTACGACAACGAGAAGCTGGACCATGGGGATGGATATAGCCCGGGGGACGGTATCTACATCGTCCCAAATTCCGGCACCTACGTCTTCACGTGGACATCAATTTGTGATGTACACCAGCAATTCCAGACCGTCATCGTGGTGAATGGAGCTTATATGGGATCATCATGGACTGATGCAGAAAATGTAAACGATGGTCATCAGACTACAACTGTCGTTGTCTTAACCTTAAATCAGGGAGATCATGTCTATATCCGCATGGGGAGTACAATTGGACATGGGAACCTTTTAAGTCGAACAAATTTAGGAGAGTCCACATTCTCAGGATGGAAACTTGACTGATAAAATGACAAGTCCCAAAAGTTTGCATTATTTGGAGAGTACACATCTACAGGATGGAAACTCGACTGAATATGAGACAAACCAAAATTTTGTATTATTTGGAGAATTCAAATTCTGATAAATATTATTGGAGTTATAATCTGACAGCAAATAAAAGCACGGCTTCGCAGTTATTTGTTTTGTTATCAATCAGAATTTTGTCATGCGACTATCATTGTGTGCTAGTGACCTAGAGAAGAACCTTGAACGGTACAAAATTCACCTGCAACTGTAGAATATATGATTGTTTCATGTTTGAAGCTATTATGTGTTCTTAAGGTTTAATCTTGTATTGATAAATTATCCCTCATTACAGAGTGCGAAAAAGGTGAAAATTAAACTGCAGCGAAACTTTGCCAGTGTACGGTAATTGATCTCGACCATTAATCCTGGCAAAGATATTTGGCAGATTATCTGAGAATTATCCTTTTCTTACTGTGCAAACAACTTTCATTTCCTTAATTGTGATGAAAATGAGGATTGAGATGGTAGAATAATTAAGGAGAAACCAGCAGCCCATGAAAAGTTAGCATTATAAAAAGGCATAGATAAAGTGGAAATGTTGAGGAAAACAAGAAAAAACAGACCTTAAACCATATTGACCGTATGCACAACAGTTTACTGAATCTGTGTTTGTGATTTCGGTCTAATCATATTGATATGCTCAAGCTTCGGGTGGCTTACATGGAAATTTACCCATATAATTATCTTGTCAATAACTTGCTTCGTTTGACGTAAAACAGGAAACCAGGACATGTCTGCTGACTGAATTTATAGACATGTCTACCAGCTTGATGTATTGTGATAACCTTAACCTTGTAGATAGTATTCATTCTGACACGGTTTATATGAATACCAATATACGTATACGTTTTCAGCCAAATATTGTTAATTTATAACGTTAATACGAGTTTTTAAAGTTTCTTACTATTCCTTCATGGTTGAAAACACTTAAGGAATGGATTAGTTTTACCTTTGGTACCAGTGATGAGTCACAAACTGGTCAGCAAGTATTTCATCCCTAGATTCAGAGTCGGACGTGAAGTTTTGGCGAAGTGGAGATTCGTCAGTTATATTGGCAGTAGGAGGCGATCCGATACTCTGTCGATGGGAAGTCGTGTCAGGGTTCAGATCATCAAAGAAGAAGATTGTCTGATGTCATGTCGCCACTCTGGTTCCTGTGGAATAGTGTCTAGCATCACAAGCGTCTCCAATTCTGTAATTCTGTTGACTAATCTATCAACTATACCGTCCTTATGTAACATTTTCTGTTCCAGTGACGCCATTCCTTGCTGTAGCTGTGTTATTTCAGTCTTCTGATTCGTTAAGATCTATTGAAACAGGTCAATGCGTTCACCCTTTACGGCAAACAGAAGTTCTATATCTTCAAACTTCTGCTGAACGAAGGTCTTAAGGTCATGCCATTGTCGAGGTTCATTTCCGAGGTAAACTCTTTCTCCGTTTAGAATTCCGAAAAAATTGGACACGCAAATGATGAAACCTCATTTCAGAAACATGGCTGACCTCATGTCGTTTTCAGAACTATAAGTAAACCTATACCGTTTTGAGCTATTTTCCTATTTTATTTGACATAGAATCCCGTCTAACGCGACTTTAGGTATTACCTGTTTAAAACAGTATATATAGCTCCAGTATCTTGTCACGATCCTCGGAATGAATGTTGATGTTTTGCACACAACAAGATACAAAAAATAGTCTAAAACAGGACAGTTATATCAGTCATTCTAAAAGTAATCAGCTATCAGCTATGTTTGTGATGTTCGTGTTCGTTTTGATCTTGTGTGTTTTTCCAATTGTTGCGGGCTTCTGGACGGGAAATATCCTGACCCCGAAAATCGACCTCGAAAATGGCAGGACCTTAAGACTTTCGTTCATCAGAAATTTGAAGATATGGAACGTCTGATTACAGAAAATGATGAACGTGTTAACCGCCTTGAATCCATCTTGACGAACCAGAAGACTGAAATAACACAGCTTAAACAGGGAATGAAATCACTGGAACAGGAATTATTACATAAGAACGGTATTGTGGATAGATTACAACAGAGTAAGAGATTTTATGGTATTTGATACTGTTCCACTAGAAACTGAATCGCGACGAAACGGGGGTCGCTAACATTGATCAATGAAACGGCTTTCCTTCGACAGAGTGACAGATCGCCTCATCCCAACAATAAACTGATTGAATCATCACTTCGAAACAACATAAGGCCATATTCTCAATCTCGGGATGAAAAGCTGACTCATCCGGCCGTCTCCGTAAAAAAAATCTGAACATGCTAAAAACGAAGCTGAAGATGCTTCGAGAGCCCCGATACTGAGATACGTTCAAAAGCGTAAGTACGTTCTTAAATAAAAGGAAGGCAAACATATGAAAAACGCAGTGTTGTATCGTCTGATAAAGTTTGGTTTGGTTTGGTATTGTTAACGTTCTATCAACAGCTGTGGTCATTTAAGGATAGCCTTCCCTGTGTGCAAGATGCATGCGTGTAGTATATGTGTGTGTGTTTTGGGAGGCTGCGACATGTTCGTGTTTGTCTCCTTGTGATAACACAGAACTAATGCCGAATATATAGTGCTACCTCACTGAAACATATTGCCGAAGACACCCAGCAGGACACCGCGGTCACAGTATACTGACAACAGGCAAACAAGTCGTCTTACTCCTAAATTGCTGAGCGTTAAGCAGGAGTAGAAACTACCATTTTTACAGACTCTGGTATGTCTCGGCCAGGAGACAGAACCAAAAGCCTTCTTCACAGGGGCGAACGCTCAACTAAGGCCAAAAGTGAGCAATGTCAAGGGAGACATTAGGAGGAAGAAAGTTGTTTTGAAAGAAGAGAAAATATGAGATCCCAAATTTAATCGCCTCATACCATCATGCAATGGGGGCAGCAGGTACAATTCTGACGCCCTACCTGCAAGGACAGTCAGATAAGGATTCGGACGTAACTACTATGAAAAGAACAATGAATGTTTAAAATCTTCGTTTTGGAATAAATACCATGAAATTCTCTCAAAATGTGTCAAAAACCCGACAACAGCACCCTCGGCGGTGAATTGTCCAAGTTTTCGTCGTTTTATTGTTAAAATCGTGTTGTTGTTTTTTCTTAGTCATGTTATAATGCTCCATGATTAAGTTTCTGCTCTATAGATTCTGAAGTAAAGAATTAACGTGACACATTTTTAGCGTATTAAATTATTTTCTAGTTAGCGAGGTGTATGTTCATTGATGAAATAGCTAAATACTTGTTTAACTTCAAATCATTCATCGGTGAATTCTGTCGTATGACTATTAATATTACCTTCATAAAAATGTGATAAAAAGTATGATATTGAGTGAAAACACAGTAAAATCAACAGTGAAATGATAAAAGCACCTAACGTATCTCATCTTACACGATATATTGTACCTCCCCTGGAATATCATATACTTCACAAGTTTGACAGGATACAGACATCCTCGATATCCAGGGGTTACGCTCACTTTCGCTCTCTACACCTCTGGAATGTCCTAGCAAAATTGAAGACACGAAGATAGCTGTTTGATTGGTCTCAGGTAAACTGACCAATCGCTAGGCTGGAGAGCCGCCCGACTTCAAAACCTGTCAATGTTTACCGTTACGTGACCGCGAGATTCTTTTGATGTATAACAAAGGATTGAACTAGTCTTCCTGTCTCATCCACAAGATGGCGCACACTGAGCCTTCAAATTTGCTATGGCATATTCCAGGGGTGCATAGAGCGAAAGTGAGCGTAACCCCTGGATATCAAGGATGGGATACAGATATCATCAGGAATGCAGAAAACAAATGTTGAAGAAAACTGGAACTGTACTATCAACAGTATATGACGCAAAATCACTTCTAACTCCATCATACCTTCATACCTCACATATTTCTCTAACAAAAGCATTTATAATGTAGCGAATGAAACTGGTTGTATGTCCGTGTCGTAGAATGTTGACAGATTATTTCTCAAGGGGGAAATAATATTTAAATTTCCCCTCATCTTGTAGGTGTCGCCCCTTCTTCTCAGACAACCAAACAATGTGTAGCGTTCCATGTGGTCCTTTCCAGAAGTAGATATTATCACCAGGAAAACACAAATGTGTTCGATCACGAGTTGCTGGACCATGGGGATGGATACAACCCGGCGGACGGTATCTACACCGCCCCGGAATCTGGCACCTACGTCTTAACATGGATATTAATATGTGACAAACATGCTTATTTCAAGACTGCCCTCGTTCCATGGGATCATCGATTACAGATGCATCACAAGTCGATATTTACGATCAGAGTACATCTGTCGTTGTTACTACCTTGAATCAGGGAGATCATGTATTTATCCGCATGGGGAGCAATTTTGGAAACGGGTTGCTTTTGAATTTCCCCAGTGTGGGAGAACCTACATTTTCAGGCTGGAAACTTGACTGAAAACATATACAAACAAGGCACCTAATACGTGTTGGTTTTTGCTTGAAGCTGTCACAACAAATAAAGTATAAGTTCTCAATTATTTGTTTATGATTAAATCATATGTCATTCACGTCTTCGACTGTACTAGAATACCTTAATGACATTCATTACGTGTGCAACTGTCGGGTATTGATTCGTTTGGTGAAGGTAAGCGCTCAGTACCCGCTACTTATTATATAAATTACCTCGCACACCTGTGTGTGTGTGTTATGTTCATCTCATATGAAATAAACGACAAAGAGTGGACAATGCCTGTGATATAAACTGAAAGATCCCAATAAGTATTTACCAAACTCAAACTTCGTGAACACTCCTGATGATGAGATTAGGAATAGTAATGTCAGATTGTGAAACAAAATCGACCATAAATGAACTTGAATTGAAAAGCAATTTTAACTTCCTGTTGTTTGGCGGAGATAAGGCTAGGGAAAGGGAAATGAGTATGGTTTTACCTTTAATGGCCTTGACCGTTATCTCCCTGGTGTTTGGCGGAGATAAGGCTAGGGAAAGTGAAATTAGTATGGTTTTACCTTTAATGGCCTTGACCGTTATCTCCCTGGTATTTGGCGGAGATAAGGCTAGGGAAAGTGAAATTAATATGGTTTTACCTTTAATGGCCTTGACCGTTATCTCCCTGGTGTTGGCGGAGATAAGGCTAGGGAGAGTGAAATGAGTATGGTTTTACCTTTAATGACCTCGACCGTTATCTACCTGGTGTTTGGCGGAGATAAGGCTAGGGAGAGTGAAATGAGTATGGTTTTACCTTTAATGACCTTGATCATTATCTCCCTGGTGTTTGGAGGAGATAAGGCTAGGGAGAGTGAAATGAGTATGGTTTTACCTTTAATGGCCTTGACCGTTATTTCCCTGGTGTTTGGTGGAGATAAGGCTAGGGAAAGTGAAATGAGTTTGATTTTACCTTTAATGACTATGACCGTTATCTCCCTGGTGTTTGGCGGAGATAAGGCTAGGGAAAGTGAAATGAGTATGGTTTTACCTTTAATTATCTTGACCGTTTCCGGAATTACCTAAAACCTTACCAATGTATTTCTATTACCGTCTAGAACAAGAAGAATACTGTACTGGTTTGGTTAAGTTTGTTTGTGTTTTTCGTCCAATTAACAGCTATGGTCACTTTATTGGTGATAAGACGTCAGCTAATGGTAATAAGCGAGGAACAGGGAGGGGGTGTACAATTTACTATGATGGTGAAGAGAATTTTGCCTTTTATAATATTTTCCCCCATTTGCTTTTTTCAATAATTTGTTTTACTTTACATCAGTTTGTTGTCCTATATATGAAATTAACAACATTTTTCGAGGTACAGAGATTTAGGGAGGGCGGGGGAGGGGTAACTTTGCCATAAAGGTGCAATGAAGCATTTAGCCATATTTTCTATCAACTAACTTTTTCCGGCTCATTTTTTTTTCAACTTGTTTGTCTGTACCCAAAATTACATCTGGGGTACAGCAATCTAAGGTGGGCTGTTGGGTGGGGTTGTCGGTGGTTCAATTTACCATAATTCTGAAAGGAATTCCTAAATTATATTTTTTCCATTTTTTTCCAATAGTTCTTTTTTAGTTGACATCAATTTGTTGTCCTCTATATTACATTAAAAGTATGTTTAAGATAGAGAAATTAAGGGGGATCTGAAAATGTACAAAAATAAAGTCTTGGGTAGAGAAATATAGGGACGGGCAAGGGGAAGGGGTTCACTTAACTATAATGGTGCAATTAAGGGTTTCAGCTTCTTGTTTTTTCTCTCTCTTTTTAGCTTTTTTGTAATTGTGAATTCATTTTAATTCACATCAATGTATTGCCCTCTATCCAAAACTTTTCATCCTAGCAGATGTATAGACATGCTTGTCTAACCATGTTCTACAATATTGTCAAGTTGCTGTCGTAAAATCTGACAGATGTATCCCAAGTCAGGATCCAGGCACAGAAACGAGCTCTCCCATGTTTTATTTCCTCTCTACAAAACTCAGACGAGAAAAGAAACGTTCTTCTCTTGAGCTATACCCGAGTGGAATAAATTTCCTTCTCATATTGTTTCTAGCCTGAAAACAAACTCTTTGACTCAAGTCTATTGTTGGTGTCACTTCAAGTTGCAAACACAAATTAAATTGATTCTAACTGTTATCTGTCAAAATATACTTTCCTCTTTCCTTCTCAACCCTTCTCTGACATTGTTGAAATTTATCAGTATCATGTAGAAGTAGAAGTAATAATCTTTTATTACTATTTTTTATTATTATTGTTATTATTATTATTATTATTATTATTATTAAAGTGAAATTGTTTTACTTTAATTTCACCTCGAGAATATTTCAATGACGGATTACCTCCCTTCGGTTGAAACTCTCCTACCGGAACTTCACGATCGTCTGTCTACCTCCTCTTTTCCGAAAAAACTGGATGTTTAGGTGAATTTCTTAAACTATGTAATTACTATATTAGCTAAGGTTTGAAATTTTTCATTTGAGAAACGTTAAACACCTTTGCAGTCCACTGTATATAATCTGCACTGTATTTTGGAAGATATTAGAAAAAAAATCATGTATTGAAAAATGACATTTGCCACCTTTGCATGCAAAGGTAAACAAGTATGTTAATGCATGCAAAGGTAAACAAGTATGTTTATCTGCCAGACATAGATTGAGTACCAACAATTGGCTTGAGATCTCTCGCACCCTACGTAAAAATCTTACAGAGATATCGACGACATTGATGTTTGTCTGAAGTTGTGCCTTTCATTTAATATACAAGTGCTGAACAATCTTGATTCCAAAACGTCTGCCCCACGTAGAGCAGATCATGGAGTCGTTAAGATTTCGTCAGAAAAACCCCAGTGTGGAGTTTGCACTAATTGTTATTTTGGTTACGTACACAGGTGCAGGACACACTTATATGATATGTAGTATATATACTACTTGCATAAATTTTGCTAAGGGTCACTTTTATTTTGGGGCACATGCATGTGAAAATAAATATTATATTTGGTTTATACTGAGATTATATTTGAAAACTTGATTTTTCTTTTAATTCATAAGCATACAAAAATCGTAATTACGGTCGGAAAATGAGCCGCAGGAAAAAAGGGTTTCCCTTAAAATTGGTAAAAACGAGATATTCACTATAACACTTAAAATAAATAAAACTAATCCTAAATAAACAGAAACTGTTTTAGTATCGAGTGGGATGCCCATGAGCATCAATTACAGCTTCACAACATCTGTGCATGTCCTGAATGAGATGGCATATCCGGTTTCGTGGGATAGCGTTTTACTCGTCTACTAAAGCTGTTCCCTGCTGCTGGAGCATTCTTAGCTGAACTTTTCTGGAAGAATGAGCTGTCTGTCACATGCACGATGGGATTTAGATCCAGCTAGCGGGCTGGCAAATCCATTCATTGAATAGTCTCTTGCTGTAGATAGTGCTCAGTCACCCTTGCTCTATGTGGCCTACCATTATCATCCAAAAGGATAAGGTCTTGCAGGGCCGATAGTGCCATCAAGGATTTCATCGCAGTAAATCCAGGCTGTAATGGTACCATTATGGAAGACATGGAGGTCAGTTTTCCCAAGAAGGCTTATGCCTCCCCACACCATCTATGAACCACCGCCATATCGGTCATGTTTCACCCCGTACCTTCTTGGAACCTCTCCCCAGGTTGTCTCCTTACTCTTAATGCGCCTGTCGGTGAAGTTGACAAATAACCTTGAATCGTTGGTAAAAAGAACCGGTTCCCATTCCTGAAGAGTCCAAGTGTTGTGAGCTTGGGGCCCAATCCAATTGGTCCCTAAGATGGCGGGCAGTTAAGGGAACTCATATTGCTGGTCTATACGTGACCTTAAACCAGCATCATGAAGACAGTTCCTAACTGTCTGAGTGGCTACCGTGGTACCAAAAGCATTTAGGAGGTCATTTCGTAAAGCTGTGGCAGTCTGGAACCTGTTACGTCATGCCTGTTTGAGCAAAAATCGGTCTTGGCGCTGCATTATAGCCCTGGAATAACCTCGAGCATGAAATCTGGAAGGATTTCTGTTAGTTTGGTATCGATTCCACAATCTTGCTTCCACACTTTGAAACATCCCAAGGTCTGCTGCAACCTGACGTTGAGACATGCTAGCTTGCAGCATTCCAATGCCTCTATTCATTTCACCGTCATTTAACTGTTGTCTGGTTCGTCTTTGTGCCATATTTTAACAAAAACATGCAAAGAATATTCATCAAATTGATTTCCTTAAAAATTTGAACAACAGCTAGCCTAGCTTAGCTTTTGAAAGGGGTGTACATGTGGAAAAGCATGCACACGCTTTTATGGTTGACTGAACACACCCACACAGGACGATTTGGATGGCTAACATATTCGCCCAAAACAGTACGGAAAGAAAATATCAAACAGAACCTTTCTAACATTTTGATATTTTTTTTCAAAATATGGGTGATCCTAAGCAAAATGTGAGTAGTATATATATATATGTTGGTCTTGTTTTTGCCCAAATAAACAAACTATTGGTGTAACCAGCACCTGTGGCTACATGTGGTCAAACAGAAAAATGATGTTAATTGAATATTGCCTTTTTACTAGCGATATCTAAGGCACTCATTTTTAGCTGAATCTATTGTTTTCTTATATATGAATTATTCAATTTACAGCTGTTTACGATGTGATATTCCTTACCTTGATTTTATGGTTTAAGACACGTTAAAAATAGCCTCAATTTAAAGCATTTGAAACATACAAATAAAGATAATACTTGAGTACTATCCAATATTACTTACTCTAGATCTGATACTCCCAAACAATCTCATATTGACCCCATATTTTCTTATCTAATGTTTCAGATTGCAGAATGTAAGAGGCACATATGACATGTTTATGCAGAAGTCCTGGCATTAAGTTCATTTCTGTGGCTTGAAACATCTACAGTTAAGCCAGAATGCCAGGTAGAAGTGCCCCGCCCCTGGTGACAGGTGTTTCTCCCAAAGAAGGGCCCCCGGGCACACGTATCACCATCAGAGGAGAAAATCTTGGATACGATACCAATGACCTCATAGGTAAGGTTATTGTTGTGTTGCATAAACGTGATTTGGTGTTAACATGGCTGTTGACTCGCAGGAAAATTTTGCTTTTTTTATGTCATTTATGTTTCACCACATCATTTCCCAATTCAAAAAAATCGAGCACTCGAAATACTAATGTAAATAATATAACAGAACACAAAATTTAACAACTGTTTCTCTGCCAAATTATTGTCACTGTAGTCATCTGAATATCCATAAATGATCATTTTCAGATGGTTTTCAAAATAGATTTCTGTACCCTGCAAGAAAATCAATATAATTAAGTCTTTGAGGTTGATATTTCAAACACCATTAGCAATAGGTCTATTAGATCAATATAACTATCATACAAATGTAAATGGGCAGGAAATTTGAAAAGACCTGCTGACATCTACAGAAGCAAATTTTGCTAATGCCCAGGATTCTCGAACATCTTGTCTGAATATGGATGGAGATTTCTGTATCGTATAACTGTTTATACCGTATTCATGTTCTTTATTTATGTCACAGTCATGATCACTGAGAAAATGCTATATTTCTCCCCTAGGTTTAAAGATTTGTGGTGTTGATTGCTTGTTGTCCTCGGAATGGAAATCTCCAAGTAAGATTATTGCCCGGACTGGTCCAGGGAAGGGCAAAGGTGATGTCATCGTGATCACAAAGTCCAGTGGACAGGGAAGCTGTACCGTGGGGTTCAAAGGTTACTTTGTCCAGATAGGTATGAAAAACATTCTTCAACTTCAAGATAATAGTAAATGTTTCACAGTTTGAGACAAGGTTTTGAAATAGAATATTTCACCATGAGTTTTATTTTAAGCATTCATGAAAGGTTAAGAATCCAATTTTCTAGTGTATACCGGTAATGAGAAAAGATACCTAAACATCATATTGTAGCTTCTTCATGTAATAAACCTCGGAATTTTGATAAGATATGATCTAAATAAATCCTGACTTCAATATCAATTTCACTGTCAGTCTTGGTGTTAGTCTTTATTTCTATATTTTATATCTTGGAAAGGTCCCCTTCAAGAATCTGCCATCTGGATTGACGAATCACAAAATGTGATTTCCAATATGCGCCATGGCCGTCCACAGTCACCTATATTTTCCAAAGAGGACGAAGACCCACTTGGGATCTCTGATGAAGGCAGTCAGTAAGTAGATGTTTCAAACAAATGTTGCAATGAATGAGGTTGAGAATCACACAAAAAATACCTTTTGCCAGAAAAAAAAATGGTATTCAATATCTAGTTAATAATAACAACTACATTATACAGTCTAGCTGTGTTAATCCAGCCACTCCTTATCCGGATAACCAACTATCCAACCAAAGATCTGTTTCTATACAAAATTACTCAGGTAATTAGCCATCTCACAATCCAGCCACTTTCACTGGTAGCTAATTTGAAGTTGATGAGATTATAGTGACTTCACTACATAAAATGAATCATGTTTTCTGTGGTTTTCCTAGATGTGCAGCTTTTCTTTCCTTCCTGTTTCAGTGCAAAGTTTACAGAGGAAGAGTTAGCAGAAATATTTTCAGAATGTAAGTGTGTTTGATTTACAGTGTCATCTTGTTCTACTCTAACCTAGAGTTGAGAACCAGTGAAAGTGAGCAGTTTTAATATTGTTTACTATTGTTCCTTTTTATCAAAGATTATCCCATAAAATGAAAATTAAATGATATCAAAGACCTCTAGGTTGAGTCAACAGATGTAAATACAAGATGGAGGAGTTGAGACTCCAAGGAGGGAAAAATGTGAATTTGACAATACTACAAAATTACATGATAAAAAGGATCTTTGTCTCCTAAAATACTTCTAAATATGTTTACTCCTAATTTTCTTTATAAAAAAAATAAGTTTGATTCAATGGAAAAATATCATTGTTTTGATGATACATGTATAATGAATTAATTTATAACAGTTTATTAACAGTAAATACCTACTCATATTACACTACTCTACAGGCTCTGGAAACATGTCTCTGGAAAATTTCTCACCAGCCTGGTACCTATTGGAGAATCATCACAACACAGGGTAATTATAACTTTATATTCAATATTTTGTTTTGACAACCTACACACATGTTTTGGGATTGTATACTGGAATCAGGGCGTTTGTCCATCCTTCCATCTATCAGACAGGTTTGTCCAGACTACTTCTGAAATAGTGAATGTGTGTACATTTCAATGACATTTTGTTCTTATCATCAGCTTGCAGGGCATTTGTTAACTAGGACGAGTTTCGTTTATCGCGTTCCAAAGGGTTATAGGCCAGAGTTGTATGTTTATGAAATGAGGTCGGACTTAGTAATTTGATGCTGCTTTCAGGAGAGCCTTGACAAAGCCTTGCAAGGCTTGCATTAACATGTTCAGGTCCAGCAGGATTTATACCCAAAAATAAACAGACTAGTTGTTCCGCATAAATGAACAGGCCCGAGGTAATTAAATTTTAATTTTGACACTTTTTGAAGAGCTATGCCCCTTTTCACAGGAAGGCATGTATTTATATCTTAAGTAATGAATGTACTTGGTAGATACAACAATGGTAGCTATGGGAATATGATAGGATATGTTTCAATTCAATACATTAATTGCACAATTCATTAATGTTTTGTTTTTTTCATACAAGTTTTAAATTTTCATATTACTCTACAAACGATTAACAGTGTTTATATTAAAATATCGTTCTCAAATTGTCAATATCCACATATTACTCTGTGCTTTAAATGACTAACACGTATATTCTTTTTGGACAGATTTTCATTTTACTTCCACCCTTTCATTGAAATTGAAAATATTGTGATTCTATATTTCTAGTGTAGTTATAATGTACAAAAGCAAAATGAAAAATATGTAGTATTTGGACAGATACACAATATCAGCAGTATTCCGGTAAAGCAGTACAGTGAATACCAGTAAAAGCACTGATATTGCAGTAGTTACCTACAACACCAAAAGTAGTTTGATAAATACAAACCTGTACAATGCCAATAGTATTGCAATAGTATTGTTACAATTTACAGGTTTGAGGACCTGAAGGCGGGATTGGCCCACATGAAGAGACGAGCTACTCAGAGATCAGAGGGTCCCATCGCTTTTGTAAAGTCTAACCTCTCGTCAACACTCGACTGTGTCGACAGCCTTGAAGGTTACAGTCATAATCATATTTTTCAGTAGTATTTATTATTTACTAAATATTGCATCAATATTTAACATAGAAATAACAAGATATCAAAGAAACTTTATGATGATGTCAGGTACTTATTTACGTAAGAGACAAAATTGATGGTGTTTTTCTCCAATCCTAATTTATTGAAATGTGTAATTTTGCATACTTAAACTATATGTTTATTGTATCACCAAACCCATTTATAGTAGCATAATTTTTCTGGGCATATTGTAGCAATATTAAGAGGATATACATTCTACACATATATGTACTACCTCCTAGAGATATTTGTAATTAAATAGTTATTATTATTTTCTGATAAACAGTCAGTTTGTAACTTGACCTTCTCAAAATTTAAGCTTTATTCAGTAATTTTTAAATATTAAATTATAAACCTTATCAAGTTTGTTGGTGCGGAGGAGAGCATGCAAATTGTTTTGGAGATGACCCCATACTTTTACATATAGAGTCAGAACCAGACCCTTGTAATCTTGGTGAAAAATACTTACCACCGATTTGATGGTGTTGTTTTCTTTTTTCTGACAGCTATGTATGAGAAGTACTGTAGTGATGACATTCGTGGCCAGTCCATTAACTCGTATGCTGTGCTGCTCATGCGTAAGTCCTGCTTCATATGTTATAGTTAGGTCCAACAACTTTTACTCTAGACCTCCCAGATACTGGGCTAATTCAAACAAATCTTCATTCTATTAGAGAAGTGTGCAATTATATATGTTATCAGTAGTGCTCACCGTTATCTGGGCCACGGCTTTTGAATTACACAGAGATGTTTAGCACAACATTGATTGCATCTTCATCAATATGTTCAAAATTAACTGTCAAGAAAATTATCATTTGCTTGTTAATTTTAACTCATTTACCCCTACACTTTTAAAATGAACTTGCCCGGTCTTTGATTTGGTTAAGTTTGAATGTGCCTTTAGGGGTGAATGGGTTAAACAATTTTTACTGAACAGTACCTGTCAACATATCACATTCCTGTTCACTCTGATTTTGATACAGAGGCAAAGTCGTGTGCGGACGGCTTGTTCCAGGAGGTACTGGGAAGGAAAGACAAAGCAGACTCTACCAGAAATGCTCTCAACGTTCTTCAGCGCTTCAAGTTTCTGTTCTACCTTCCCCTCAATATAGAGAGGAACATCCAGAAGGTAACACTTACAGGAGAGGAAGAAAAAGGTTCTTCAGAATTATCTCACACAGTTCTTGTACAAATAAGAGGTATCCCATGTATAAAGTAAGCAGTTATATGAAGAAGAAAAAAATGAAAGGGTATTTCATATCATATATATGGATATTGGGATTCCACACATAGCTAAAAAAAATGAGTTCGTAGTATATAGGTACGGTGGTTATGGACATTTTGTTTGTGGGTATAGAATTTCTACACCTGGAAGTGGATTTTTCATATCCCCTGAACTAAATAAAAACGGACTCTTTTCCCTTTCTCTCAATACCCTGAAATTTATAGTCATTGTCATTGTTTAATTAAAATACAGTAATCCAATTGTAAACCCCAGAATAAAAACAATCTGTAATAGCTTCACCGAGGATAATTCCAGATTATTTGAATATTTCCGCAAGAAAAAGTCATTTTCTGACTGTTTTGGCTGCTAGACATTCTGCTTCCATTCAATGATGTCATGCTTCATATTGAGATGACATCATGTTTCAAGTTTTATCTCTCAACTGAAAGAAGTCACTTAGTACTTTATAACCATAAATATTTGCTTTTATGCACATTGACCTTTTATGCACATTGTTGTCAATATCTAGAAAAAATGTTATACTTGAGTGTTCCACATAGGGTCTGTGTTTCTGCATAGGAACAGGTGGACAAACCCTTTTTTTCTTTCATTGATTTTCATGTTCAAGACAGTATTCATGATGACTTTGTTACGATATCCATTTGTTGAAATTACAATTTTCTTGTCTGTGAAAATTGCTAAAATAAATAGGTATCAAATTAGTTACAGTAGCATTTTTTCTTGTATTTGATATGAATTGAACAGTTGTCCCCCCTGATCTTGCACATGGAGAAGTTGCTTTCATGATTTAGCATGGGAAACAGTTACATTACAATTTATGTTTATATTTTACAGGGTGATTACAACCTAGTCATAAATGATTATGTGCGAGCCCGTTCATTATTTGCCGATACGCAAGTTCAAGTCTTCAGAAAAGGTGAGTAGTTTTCCATTCTCTGTGAAAGTGCCTTATTACAATGGCGATAGACCTTTGCTGAGTAATATAAGTACTTTTCTTTAATCTGAATTTTTCATGAAAACATCTTTTCGTAGAATTATTGGAAAAATGAACTGGAGCAGGTCCTATGGCAAAATTATTGCTTATCATTAACGATCATTTTTTTTAATTGAAAGAGAGAGAGATACATAAATGAAATCACAGGCTCCAGCTTTACATCTACTTTACATCATTTTAAATTGAAAATCAACAAAGTTCTCAGTGTGCTGAAAATCTTTCTTGTATTTCTAATCAGTGTACACAGAGGTGGAATCAAGGGTTAACTCCTTCCGAGAAATGTTACAGAGCAAGTTATACGAACTACCCAACACACTGGAGGAGCAGAAAAAACTTATAAGGTCGGTAATCTTCCATAGAAATGTAAACCATCACAGTTTTTTGCCCTGTTTGTTGTTGATGTAATGAAACCTTCTGATGACCTGTCTATAAAGACCACCTGCCATAGAGACTACTTTTGTTATGCCCACATCGTGAAAATTCCTCAAATGAAATTATCTGTAAATAATAAAATTTATAAAGATCAACCACCTGTCTAGTCCAGATTTTGTGCTGTCTGTCTTAAGTTATCACTATTGACATGTATGACTCTGTATGAAAACTTGTTAGGAGAATCCTCATTGCTTTTGACCAATTCTTCAAATTTATATTACAGTGTTTATTTAGAGTCCAGATCAACAAGACATCATGGCATTGCAGTTAACATTTTAATTTATTTAATAAAACAGAAATCAATTGATATAGTTCTTGCAAAGTTTAAATTTGGCTTTAATTTTCTTTATTTGTCTGTTTCTTTGATAATCCTAAAAGTGCATATGTGTGTGATGTAGACCCCAGTATAATGATTGACAAGGTTATGTCCCTATTGTAGGTATCTGAACAACCTGGAATGCCCCGGTGACCCAGCCTGGGAGTGCCTCATCAATCAACAGAAATGGCTCCTCAACATCCTACACCAGTGTAAGGATCAACACATCGAGGAAGGTAGGTGTGGCTTACCATATAAAGGGAGTGGGTCAAATGATGTGGGTGTGGCCCAGCATATAACAGGTATTGTTAATACTAAAAAGGCGTGGCTTAGTATTAAAGGGTAGGAGTTGTAACCCCCCCCCAACGAAGTTAGGGGAGTATACTGGAAGCACCCTGTCTGCCTGCCTGTCTGTCTGTCCGTCCGTCCGTCCGCAGTAACTTGTCTGGAAAATTCCATCTAAACTAACAACCAGATTTTATTGAAACTTGAGTTACGGTCCTATATGCGAAATAACTTGTCCGGAAAACTCCATCTTAACTAACAGGCAGATTTAATGGAAACATGACTTGAATGATCAGTATATTATGTATACGTATTGTGCACAGGCATTTTAAATGATGTATAAATTACCGGCATCAGCAGGGGGTATTAGTTAGCCTCTGGATGACAGTTCTAGTTAATACTAAAAAGGCGTGGCTTAGTATTTAAGGGGAGGAGTTAAAACAAGATAAGTGTAGTTTAAACAAACTGGGTGTAGCTTTCACCCATTAAGGGGGTAGGTAAAAAAAACAATTCGTTATGAGTGAGATATATAAGCTCAACAAGTGATGTAACAGTGAGATTATGGAGGGTGGCTGTTATGTAGATTACAAGGGATAATTGGCATTGTTTAGTTTAGTTGTTTAGTTGTTGAGAAACAATGAGGTGTTGTATAAGACATGTCTGATAGACACATCTTTATTTATACAGGTTGGGAAAATGAAATGTGGGTGTGACTTCAAATATTGAGATATAAGAAAGAGAAAATAGGCATATCTTGATACAAGATTGAGGAGGGGGGGGGGGGGGGGTGTTTATAAATATGACTTCTACAAATTTGAGGAATCAATTTCAGAAAAGAAAATTCATAATAGAATACATATGTATTTAAAGTTTGTATAAATGTTGAATCTTGGCTTGTTTTATTGTAGAAATGAGGTGTGTCCAGACAGAGGGTGATGTGCCAGGTAACCTCCTCCGTAGTCCAGGTACGTCTACTGCTTGTCATGTAACGTGAGAGACAATAAGTATGATGTGCTACCTCATATATGCTTACTGCAGTGTGTGTCTACTTTCAAAAGGGTCAGGTAGGAAATAATTGTTAACATCTGTATAGTGGGTCCAAGGAAAAGTAATTAGCAAGGGGAGGGGCCGGGCACACAATATATTCTTTTTATGATGTGTAGATCTGCAAAATATTCAACCATAAGATATAAAACACTTTCTGGTATTGAAGGAAAGATATGCATTTTGATAAAAACTCTGGAATGTACACTGAAAAATGCATATGATAGTTCACATCATTTGTATATATATGAAAGGGTGTGAAATCAAAGATATTGCGTCACCAGAAAAATGTTGTTTGTCACTCTCCCTTGTAGGTAACAACAAATTCCGAACGCCACAGAAAGTATCCTTCATAGAGGAGCTTACAGAGCTGGTCACAGACAACTTCCCTGACCTATGGAAACTCGGACAGGCATTCTTCTCCGGATCTCTGTTTACGAAAGAGGTAGGTATTACTAATAACATTCATACAGACCTAGCCCTGATTAAGAGGGTAACTCTCTGTGCCTCATATTGTTGTTGTTACTTTTTAAACATAAACCCCAGGAATTGTTTAGACACACTGTTTCATTCATACTATATGGTTAATTATCTTAATCATTAGTAAAAACTGTGACAATCAATTTAAATTAAACAACATATATTTTGACATAATTTTTGTTTGGACTGAAATTTTGGTAGATTATAACTAATTCAAATTGTTAATTCAGTATTATTGTTTATTATGTAATTCTACAGTCAGAATGTTGTCACTGTATATAAAATTATATTGATATATTCTGAATTTCTTTTTCCAGTCTGGTGAAAAAAACTTCAAAGTAGATGCAGCGAAGCATAGCAAATTCAAGGTATGTTTGGATGAGGTTGACTTAAGCTTTACTTAAAAATGTTTTAGCAATATTAGTGTATAATTATATATAACTTGCACAGGTGTTTCTCGTAAATTATTTTTGGAGAAAAGGACCCACATATATTGAAATTAAACATTTCAAAGGAAAACGAAAAAAACAATATTTTGGTGACTTTCTGAGAGTGTGATTAATTGCTTTTTTTAATTTTAGAGACCCAGTGGGTGAATCACTATGCAGTCGTTTAATTTTATATTTGAACATTTGTGGATAGAGATTGATTTGCAGCTACATGTATAAGGATCATACATGAAAGAAAAATTTGTAGGAAAAGATGCCATGTTGAACACATAAATAATTGTTTTTTTCCCTTAGCAAATGATAACCGGCATCATTGCTGTGTTTGCTAATCTGGTGCGAACAGCATTTCTACCTGAATCTCTGGAGAATATTGCTGGACAGGAACGTGCCCAGTACGGGGTGTGGCATAGTGCCAAACAAGACATCTCAGGAGCATGGCTTCCTATCTGTGTCCGTTACATCAGGTAGATTTAAAATTTGAAACTAGGCAACAGTTCAAATCATCTGACAGCAGATTACATCTGCTAAGTGCTTATTTATATCCCATAAAATATCTTCACATAGTTCATCAATTAATCAATGAGGTTGTCTGTAACAGTGTCAAAAATTGGTTTTAAAATCAGGTACCCACATTTTCATTTACCATAACAATGACTAAAATTTTGTTTTGAAGATTCTGGGATGAAACATACTCTACAGATTTTGAACAGTAAAGTTTATGTTGTTCTAAAAATATGTCTGCTAAGTGCCTCCAATATTTTAATTATTGATGTGTCTAATCTGTGTCACTGCTAATATATGGTACATGTAATTATTGGTATTTACAGAAACTGTGTGAGCTCCTTGACACAGTTAGATCTGCCTGGAGACTCATCCAGTCTGGTGACTGACCTGGCACTGGACATGAGGACCAACTGTATGTTTACTCTGCTGAAACAGGCCATAGCAGGTGAGCTCTACTTTGATATTTATTTTTTTCCAAGGATTATTGACGTAATTATGTTTCAGTCAACTTTTTCTTGAGGAATAAACCTGTGACTGTAACAATAAATAGTATATGTGTCCCACATTGACCAGTGTCAAACTTACTATAAAGTTGTGTTAAAATATATTGATACTTTGTAAATTCCACTGATGAAATAAATGTGAAAGTATTGTATCTCAAGTACTGTTAGTTATTGACAGTATGGACGAAGTTGTAACGATGATTGTGGAAGCCAGTAGGATCATATCAGTACTGTAGCATGACAATGTTACTCAGCTTGTGATGTGTTGATAAGTTTAACCCTACTCATAGTTACTTTCTCCTGTAAGGACCACATCTTGAATAAGCGTCTTCTAAGAGAAGTGTACAATTGCATATTTAGACTACTAGCTCGCAGGTAGATTTTGTTTTCGAATAACCTCTTGTGAGAAAATATGTCCGTGAGTAAGTGTTCAACTCTGAATTGCCGTCCCTGAGTGTGTATTTTATCTTTGATTTATATCCCCTGTGTATTAAATAGCATTTGAACTACCTCCCTCGAGTAAGAGTTGTGTCCCTTGTGTCCTCAGATGTTCAGCAGCTCCACACCAAGGAGACATGGATGGTGGAGACGGATGACGAGTCAGGAGGAACAACACAGCTGGTGAGGACAATTATTATATACCAACATAATACAGAACCCTTTTACACTAACTTACAATGTGAATATTGATATCCAATTTTAATTCCATCTGGAGAATAATTCCATCTGGAGAAAATGCAAAATTTTCAACACCTGGTACTGTATTTTTGAAGCATCCTTTTCTTCAGCATTCAAAGATTTCTATCATATACATTCATATATATATGCCCTCTAAAACATATTTTCATAACTAATTGTAATAAACAGCATACCCTGCATAATAATTCCACTTGGAAGGGTTATAATAATACTGGGTTTATATGGCGGGATTACACAATTTCCTGGTATACAGTTTATGTTTAGAAAGGCATGTAACAATATAATCATAACAAGTGGAAACAAATGTCTTATTCAAAATTTTGATTTTAATTAAAAAATATTTGTGCATTAAATTCAAGTTCAAATTCAGAATCATTTTTTGTAGCCGGCATTATTTGAGAACATTGTGAATGAGACAATCCAGCATCTACATGAGGTGGTGGTACAGAACAAACCAGGGGAGCCAGAGGTGAGCTGTAATTCTGGGGAGGAAGATATTGTTCAAAGCTTATTTAAGTACCAATTAAGTAAATAATACTAATGTAATACCTCTCAAATCTTTAGAAGTATGTCAGCTGGTTTTGTTCCGAAGATTGTTTTGTTCCCCTCATCTTTTCCAAATGGTTGAAATTGATCTTTATATGCTTTTAAAACAATATAATCAGAAATAGGAAATAATGATCATTTTACTTCCCAAAAAGAAAATCAGAATCTTAATTATTTATCTTCAACTTTCAGATCTTCAGCCAGAGAATTGTGCAGAAGGATGCTACAATATTGTGTACCCAGCTTCTACAGGCTTTTGCCCCCTGTCTCAACTGTCTGGCCTTCACCCCTCCACCTGTTACCAACACCAATAAGTAAGTCTGTTATATCTCCTGTCTGACCTTCACCCCTCCACCTGTAACCAACACCAATAAGTAAGTCTGTTGTATCCCCTGTCTGACCTTCACCCCTCCACCTGTTACCAACACCAATACGTGAGTCTGTTATATCCCCTGTCTGACCTTTACCCCCTCCACCTGTTACCAACACCAATAAGTGAGTCTGTTATGTCCCCTGTCTGACCTTTACCCCCTCCACCTGTTACCAACACCAATAAGTAAGTCTGTTGTATCCCCTGTCTGACCTTCACCCCTCCACCTGTTACCAACACCAATAAGTAAGTCTGTTGTATCCCCTGTCTGACCTTCACCCCTCCACCTGTTACCAACACCAATAAGTAAGTCTGTTGTATCCCCTGTCTGACCTTCACCCCTCCACCTGTTACCAACACCAATAAGTAAGTCTGTTGTATCCCCTGTCTGACCTTCACCCCTCCACCTGTTACCAACACCAATAAGTAAGTCTGTTGTATCCCCTGTCTGACCTTCACCCCTCCACCTGTTACCAACACCAATAAGTAAGTCTGTTGGTTCCCCTGTCTGACCTTCACCCCTCCACCTGTTACCAACACCAATACGTGAGTCTGTTATATCCCCTGTCTGACCTTTACCCCCTCCACCTGTTACCAACACCAATAAGTAAGTCTGTTGTATCCCCTGTCTGACCTTCACCCCTCCACCTGTAACCAACACCAATAAGTAAGTCTGTTGGCTCCCCTGTCTGGCCTTCACCCCTCCACCTGTCACCAACACCAATAAGTAAGTCTGTTGTATCTCCTGTCTGGCCTTTACCCCTCCACCTGTTACCAACACAAATAAGTAAGTCTGGTGTATCCCCTGTCTGGCCCTCACCCCTCCACCTGTTACCAACACCAATAAGTAAGTCTGTTGTATCCCCTTCCTGGCCTTCACCCCTCCACCTGTTACCAACACAAATAAGTAAGTCTGTTATATCCCCTGTCTGGCCTTCACCCCTCCACCTGTTACCAACACCAATAAGTAAGTCTGTTATATCCCCTGTCTGGCCTTTACCCCCCTCCACCTGTTACCAACACCAATAAGTAAGTCTGTTATATCCCTTGTCTGGCCTTCACCCCCCTCCACCTGTTACCAACACCAATGAGTAAGTCTGTTATATCCCCTGTCTGGCCTTCACCCCTCCACCTGTCACCAACACCAATAAGTAAGTCAATTATCTCCCCTGTCTGGCCTTTACCCCTCCACCTGTTACCAACACCAATAAGTAAGTCAATTATCTCCCCTGTCTGGCCTTCAGCCCTCCACCTGTTACCAACACCAATAAGTAAGTCTGTTATATCCCCTGTCTGGCCTTTACCCCTCCACCGGACACCAACACCAATAAGAAAGTCGGTTATCTCCCCTGTCTGGCGTTCACCCCTCCACCTGTCACTATTACCAATAAGTAATACAATTATCTCCCCAGCCTAGCCTTCACCCCTCCACCTGTCACCAACACCAATAAGTAATTTAGTTATCTCCCCTCTCTGGCCTTCACAGTATTAGTATGTGGTTTGTGTCATGAAAGAGATCATTTGTTATTGCAGAAGGATGAGCCGACCTAACAGATCGTCTGACCCCAATGTAGACGTGAGTGAGGAGGGCATTTTACCACTGGTAGGTGTATTGTACCAAAGGAAATATTTGCAGGAGCATAAATTTCGTTAATATAATGCTACTTAAAGTGGAATCAAACGTATGCTCCTGTGTGTGTAACGGCTACAGATCGTTGTCAATACATATACATGTAGTGATGACAGAACCATTGAAGGTACCGAAGAATGGATCATTTATCCCATTTAAAAGCTATGACACCTTCATAATAAGAAACGTTCCTCATAGTGATGAATGATTTCTACAAAATCATGATGTAAGAAAATCATTGGTTTCAATTAGATAGCAGGGGCCTGTTCTTGTATGCAAAACAACCAGTTTGTCTGTTTTTAAATGTAACATTTTCGGGTATAAATCCTTGCAGACCTGCAAATGTTTATGCAGGCCTTGCAAAGCTTTGTCAAGTCTCGCCTGAAAGCAGCATCAGATTATGAGGTCCGATCTTATTTCATAAACGAACAAGTCTGGTCCAACCGTATGGATCGCAATAAACGAAAGCGGCCCTTGTCTAGAAAAGCAGGAAGGCTAAATATAAACTATGGGTATGAACTATGGGTATATGGGTATACTGGATTCAGGTTGTCAGTCTAGCTGTCCATCTGTTGACAGAGTCTTGTGCAGAAAACTCCTCCTTTGAATTTTGTGAAACTCTGCTGATGTAATCACCACACTCTGAAGTTGTGCACCTGTACTTATTCCCTTGTATCCAGCTATTTTTATAGCAGTGAAGTTCTTGGCTAAATCTTCTATATTATGATTCATATAAACATTATGTTCAGAATGATGCGTATACACAAAAATGACATTTCTTGCTGCAGGACAAACGACTGATCATCATGCTCAGCAACTGTAACCACACAATGGAGAGAGTTTTACCTAGACTTGTGGAAAATCTCAACAAGCTTGGCTATGTGGAGATGAACAAGGCGTTGAAGGTGAGAATGGTAGTGACCTGTCCAGATCAGTCTTAAAGTCTACTGTCTATCACAATGTTTCAAAGTTTTTGTGAATGCGAACAACATCGTAAAGATTTTCTTATACTCTTTATTGCTTGCCAATTCAAACTATTGATTGTCCACAGTTTGAAGAGAAACAAATAACATTTGGAGAAATTCCTTCAGCAACTTGCCACTTTTCTCTATAATTAAGTAAGTGTGCTTAATTGGAAATTTCAAGGCAGAAGACTTAATTTTGTAGACTGATAAGTTGTTTTATTTGGTTTTGACCAGACTGCTGAGTCAACGTACCAGGAACTGGATGATAAGCTGTTTGAAGCCTATGTGGAGGAGAAGTCTAACCCGATAGTGGGAACCATGGAACAGAACATGTACAGTGGCAAGTTTGATTGGAGGACCTGTAAAAAACCTTATGGTACGTAGTGTAACTTGTATATAACATTGTTAGTTTCTCACCTGTAAAAAACCTTATGGTACGTAGTGTAACTTGTATAAAACATTATTAGTTTCTCACCTATGAAAAAAAACCTTATGGTACATAGTAGTGTATTATAACATTGTAAGATTCTCACCTGTAAAATACCCTTAGTATGTAGTGTATCTTCTATATATAACATAGTAAGATTCTCACCTTTAAAAAATGCTATGGTATGTAGTGTATCTTCTATATATAACATTGTGAGATACTCACCTTTAAAAAACGCTATGGTATGTAGTGTATCTTTTATATAACATTGTAAGATTTTCACCTTTAAAAAACACTATGGTATGTAGTGTATTTCTATATAACATTGTAAGATTCTCACCTTTAAAAAATAAAATATGGTATGTAGTGTATTTCTATATAACATCGTAAGATTCTCACCTGTAAAAACTTCATGGTGTGTACTGTCACTGATGTATTCTCTCGCCTGGAAATATGTAGTGTTTGATTTTATCAGTACAGTATATCACCTGTTAAAAGACCCTATTACACCTAACATCTCACTTATAGAAAAGAAATGAACGTTTGACCAGAAAATAAAGCCATTATTGCATATTTATCAAGGTATGTATAGATATTAAGAGGTAACAGAGTGATGCATACTAAAACCTTTCAGAGTGACTAACACTTTACTTATCAGGGATATCAAAATAATGTAATGTTTCCTTTTCATTCTTTTTTTTAGGAGTGCGAAATTATCTGAAAGAGGTCATAATGCAAATGATAGAAGTTCATGCTGAGGTACGACTTTTATTTACTAAATCAACTTTGTTCTTTGTTTCTGTTCTAGCCAACACCATGCTATTTACTTTTATTTGTTATTTGTTTAAATTTATTTAGAAAATGAGTTTGAAATGAGTTTGAAGAAAAGGTGGTACATAATGCGAAAATATACTAAGTAAAAATCATTTTACTAAAACTAAATGTTAAAGAAAACATTCTTTGTAATATGTTTAAGTCGCTGGAACCATGAAAAAGAATTGGCCAAGAATTCATTGAGATAAACAAGGTATGAAGGTAACCAGAATACCTGTTACGTTGTGTACTGTGTAGGGACTATGTTTGGGGTGTAATTACCCAAATGCATCTCAAACTTATTTATAAGGTTTTTATTTCTCAAATCACTAAGAGACTCATTTTTTAGCTTGACTTTTATAAAAGTACCAACTAGTGATTCTTTTATCTGGGAAAGTCAAGCCATTCCTTCATACTGTCAGATTTCTAGCAGGTAAATATATATAACTACTACAGCTGTACAGTGAAACTTGTATGTTACAGGTGTTTGCCGTTTCCCCGGCCTTTGTGACCAGAGTAACTAAAAACGTGATCGAGGCTGTCGCTGAGGAGATGTCAAGACTTGTGGAATGTATCACAGAATTCTCGCCGAATGGAGTACTCCAGGTATGCTTCACCAGATCACTCACACCTGTCTTTGTCATCACCTTTGTTAAGTACCTCAGAAAAGCAACAGAAAATAAGGACAATTTGTAGATTTTGGGAAAATTGGCTTCCACTTTACCAGAATGAAAGTGAAACTATTGACTTAAAGTATTTACTCTCCCGCCCTCCATATGGTGACAAAAATCGTCTGTAAAAATTCCCCTATAGTTAAATATTAGCCAAGAACATTAATTTTATGACCTAACAACCTTGGTCAGCCATGATAACTGGAGTATTTGATATTGTTTAAACCTCAGTGTTCTTGTATGAATGGTGACTTCTGGCATAAGGATGGATTGTGTGGATTTTACATAATTAGCAGTGTATTGATATGTCTAATTCTGGGCAGCATGTGATAGAATTATGGCTTGTCTGTCCCAAATTATTTGATATCAATATGTGTTCTATAAAATGAAATAAAGAAAAGTTGGAGAGATACCTTTAAGAAATCATCACTATTTTTTGAAAAAAAAATATGATTATAAAATTGTAGAAATATATGTACAAGAAGTCTTTATTTTTTTAATGTCTCCTCTAGGAGTCCAACCCAGTATATCTGGTTAGCTAAAGAGAAATTCTCCCTTACCAAGTCACAACTGTGTGCCTCTGGTTTACTTATCTTATGCTCTACCAAATGAGCTAATGAGAAATTCTCCCTGGCCGAGTGGGTAGGAAGTGGCTAGTATTTTGTACCAGGGTGATGAGTGTGACTTAACAATGTTTATGTTTCCTCAGGCCAGACTGGAAGTGCTAGCTCTACAGCAGACCGTACAGCTGTACCAAACACCTCATGCCAGGTACGTTCTGGTCTCTATCGGTTAACGACTTTGGACAATTTTATTATTGGTTTTTTTAAATATTGCAAGTAACAGATTTACCTAAATTGTTTGCTGATGTAACTGTTTTTTTAACAAGTGGGTTCGAATATTTGATTTTACAACATATGGTATGCTACTTTGTACCTAGAATTAATCATAATTATATATAAGGATTAGTTCCCCCTTGGAAAAGTAAGATTATTTCATCATTAAAAGTACCTAGCGAATGATAACAAGAGCAATTAGCAAAGTGTGATCACACACATGCAACCCTGTGTAAATTTCAAAAGTAAAAACAGTTGATTATCCAAGTTCAGATTTTAGTTCATAGTTATGTTGCATGGTATTCTGATTTTAATTGGAACTCTTTGTGATTCATCTGGTAGAATATTGCCTTTAGTATTGCTTTCTCTTTTCAGGATAAATGTTAAACATGCTAATTTTGTTTTATAGTGAGTGTTTCCAGGAAGCCCTTGATGCCCTGCCTGCTATCAAACAAGATGACAAGAGGTGAGGTGTATTCTATATAATACTTGTTTTATAAAATAGTGCGAGTTTCATAAAATGTATTTCAAAAATAGAAACATGTTTTATCCATGTCCAGCCTTTTAATGTCTATGATTATTTTTGGACACACCTAAATCATCCAAGCAGTTTTGGTTCCATAAATTCATTATTCATTATCACATTTGTAATAAAATGTATCAAATTTCCCAAAATTAATGTTTTAACCATTTCCTACTCAAACGTTGTATGGACTTTTTCTCTTTTCTTTTTCAGAATTGTCGAAGAATTCTTGAACAAATTCAAATCTCAGATGAAAGTTCAGTTGATGTGCTTCTACAGTGACAGTTTACTGTGTGATAGAAATTCTAGCAATGCTTGATCCTAGTCAGTGAAATGTTTGAAACTTGTGTTATTATTTCCAAGACTTTGAATGACCAAGATTTCTAATCTTTATCAATGATTTAATACATCATTGGTAATAAATTCAGTATGTAAATGTACATCATGATCAAGTGACTGTTCTTGCTGCAATTTCCTTAAATGGATTTAAAGTTGGTTGCTTTAGTATTCATGAAGCGCTTATTATTCAGTATTGTATGAGAGAGATACATGTAACTTGTAGACTTAGTTTTCACACCTGTTATTTAAACCTTCATATATAGACAGAAGTTCTATAAGAATAAAAAGAAAGTCTCCTATACCCTAAAGCAACTCTTGTAGATCAAAGCGTGTTCCCTCAAGAATTTATTTATCATGGAAATGTGTATACACAATGTATAGAAGGCCATCTAGTTCACTAAATATTGGTACTTAAGGTGAGTTTCTGCTAATTCAAAGTCAGATTTGAGTATGATATTAATTTTTCTGACTCCATCAATTTACAAATTTAATTAAATTGATAACAGTTAGTTGAATCCTCCCACACACTACATATCCTAATTAAATTGCTGCTTAATTACATGTGATAAATAATGGAATTGTCCTTATGACTTCTAATGTTCTACAAAAAAGATCACACCTTCAGCTTGTTACCAACACATGTGGCATGTAAATTTGTGTTAAATGGCAGGGATAATCCTGGAGGGGTTCATGGGGCCATTGGCCCCTCAAAACTGAAATTGAACCCCTCCATGTTCCAATTTTCTTTAAATTTTACATATAATAGCCCCTCTTAATTTTGTTATTGACTAAAAATTGCTTAAAATGTCCCACTGCTCTCTCAAATTCCTGTATGTTCCCTGAAATGGAACCTCTTCATTCTATTATCTGCCTCTATATTGAAACCACAGTGTATCTAGCTTGAAGGTGTGTACATGGTAATCCTTTTATAATGCAGGTAGGGATGAGATCTCACCTCTTTTTCTATAGAGCGATCTGCCTTTTTATCACTCCACCATCAACATATTCCTCCCATGGTTTTGAGCAAGACATTATTTTTTCCAATTTTTGGCACAAAATTACCAGGGCCCTGAATGTAATGATCAAGATCTTATGGCCCTGAAAACTAAATATTTATTAGTCTGTGGAACACAAGTAAGTGTGTAATGTGTAACTTTCTAAGAGGATGAATTGGTATTATTTTTTCATTTTGTAAACTGTAGATTTCTTACATTATGAGTTGGTGATTTTCATTTTCACTTAAATTTATATTTCAGCTTCAATTGCAAATTCAGACATGAATATAATATTAAACTATCATGAATGTTCAGTGAAATGTGAATTATTGTCCACACAAATAAGTTCACAAAGACGATATGTGAATTTAGATAATTTATATAATCATGTCTCTATTCTAGGTGAGTAAAAGTTCTATGCTTCCTTTAAATATACCTTATACCAGCAATTTGTGTAAGAATTATCTCCCTTAATTGGCATTTTAGAGTGTTATCAATGAATTTGTGTTGGTGTTCCTTTCAAATTGGTCATAGATGGATAAACCAGATCAAAAATAAAATTCAGAAAAAATATTTGACTATTTATGTTCTTATTGCGGAACTCTTTTGGAATAAAGGTGCCAAGGGTGACCGTGAGGTGATGTTAATTGGTATTCCGTCTTTTCGTATTGCAGAGTTATCTGCACTTGTGAGTAGGTATTGATTATTTCGTCATTGGTTTGTGAGAGTAACGTCATCAATTTTTGAGAAACCGACCAAATTTTCTCATACAAACCAATGAATGAAGTAACAATCAATACCTGCTCACAAGAGAAGATAACTCTGCAATTTGCAAAGACAGAATAATTTGGTACCTGTTTTAGCCAGGAACTCTTTTTGAATTGACACATGTTAATGTCAGGTAGCAAACAACCTTAAGCCATATAAGGAACAGATTTTCTTAGTTATGGGGTAAGAATGCTTTCAACATATGTGGTGCACAATAACGATTTTCAATATTTATGTATTAGGATAGAAACGAACGTGTTTCATATTATTTCCATTCCATGTAAAGTGCAATACAATTGATTATACACTATGATATCATGTGTTCTATTGTTTTTAGCTAACCTGGCACGAAGTGTCAGTTGAGCTTATGGTACGACTTCTTAAGAACTGTGGGCCAAGAGCCATGCTATTTGGCCAGTTAGGTAGCTGGGAGGGAGTGATATAAAGTTTCCTCAAATGATTGACCTTGACCTGTACTTTCACGGTTTGTTTGTTCGTGTTTTACGTCCTATTAACAGCTATGGTCATTTAAGGACGTGAAATGTTTTGGTGGTGGAGGAAAGCCAGAGTTCCCGGAGAAAAACCACCGACCGACGGCCAGTACCTGGCGACTGCTCCACGTAGTGCAGTGCTAGTGGTACAGTAGCAGAATGTCAGACGCCTTAACTAGTTTCACGGTCACAGGGGTTAGATATGTAAAAACCTTTAAATAACTTCTTCCGCAATACCAGTAGGCCCTGGGTGATGATATTTGACCAGAAGCATGCTGGGATAGAGTAGTATAAAGTTTCATTTAGTCTGGAACATTCTTAAGCCAAGGAGACTCAATATATGGAAATATTTGCAAAAGTACTTTTATTGGGAATATTTTACAATGATTGCACAAATATCCAGGTAAGCGATACATGCCCTCTGGGCCTCTTGTTTTCAAATCTCAAGGAAATTGAAATAATTTGACATCTTGATATAACAAGAGACACCATGGATTTTCTCACAAACAATATTTATATGGTCTTGGTATTTCATCCGTAAAATGATTTCAATTGATATATTTATATTAATGAATCACAGTGAGATATTGGATAACATAACATCAACTCGACATTGAGATAACTTTAAATTAAATAAACGGAAAGTTTAGTGATTGGTCCCTTAAATCAAATATTTCTCTCGGTTGTGTCACCATCAAATTAAAAAAAATATTAAAAATTCTAAACACCAAGATCATGAGTCGACATAGTGATATTTGACCTCAAGCTTGCTATGGTGAAGGTCAGACAATTATAAAAATTGGTCTGAATTTATACTAATTTTCCAACATACTCTACAGAAAATGATAAATAGCACAATTTATTTTTTCATGTATATTGCATGCATGATCTGGTAAACAGGCCCCATTGGCCTCTTGATGTTATTTGAATAAGTCATTTGTAAATGTTTTGTGCAAAAAGAATTATATCAGAAAGTTATATAGTTTAGTATTAAAACTGATGACACACTCTGCTTTACTAGGAACATATCCATCGTACATACACCTGGTTCTGGAGAAATCCCATAATATCATTTTAATTTATAAAAAAGAATACTTACACAGAATTTTGTCATGTTTTACATGTATATACATAAACAGTTCTTGTGTAAAGTCGTGAAACAATTGATTCGCCTATATTTTTATACTAGCATATTGAGCAGACAGAATAAAGTTGGTACATCAATCATAATTTACAAGTATATTGAGCTGACATAATAAATTTGGTACGTCAAATCTAATTTACAAGATTGATTGCTTCTGCTTATTAATTGCAGCATTTCATCAATTATTTCCTTTTTATATAAAGTTTATCATGTATCCTTTTAATATATATAGACTTTATCTATTTTACAACAATTATGAAAGTTTTTTCAACTAAAATTAATCACTCTTTTTGGCCCGGATGTTAGCGTGCAGAGGACCTATTTGTGGTAGGAAACCGGAGTACCCGGAGAAAACCCACGTGGTCGGGCAGGTGACCGCATAACTTTTCACGTCCGATCAGAGAATCGAACCCCGGCCGCCTTGGTTAAAGGCAAGTGCGCTACCCCTGCACCAACCGACCACCATCGACCATTTTAATGGGACTTCCACGTGAACAGACATTTCATGGGAAGCTTTTAAAAATGACAATTTGACCATAGTGACAACAGAAGTATTCCGAAACATTTAAATTTATGAGCAAGACATACTTTTCTCCATCAACCAATATAGGTTTCCTCACTTCCATCTTATTTAAATGATGCATCCCACGGTTACATAATTTATAAACATATCGGGTATTGGTGATTTAGTACTGAATACCGATATATCCAATATGAACCGTCGTAAGGGGCCATTTTTATGGGTTCCACCATCTGTGGACACCTTCTACATTGTTCAGTCAAACAAACAGTAAAACTATTATGGATCCGTATTCTCAAAGACCTTTATGTACGGAGTTTCCTGTAATTGTTATCTGCTGTTATACTTCCATCAACAGACTCGGTACGGAACCTGTTCGAGTAACATTTGCTTACAAATATTTTTAAAAAATCGGTTGATATTTACAATGATGTTAATATTTTTTCAAGAATCGCATTCGAAAAAAACTCAGAGAGTCTCAAGAGGGAATTTGGCGCCCACCTTCGTAATATCTTCATATGTTCTTTGTAAGATTGGTCAATTCTCTTCTAACCTTTATTTGTTCGGTTGTTCGGTTGAGTCCTGTAATCAGTAAATGTACCTTGTGGTATTTTTTTTTATCAAAGCTTCATACTGCGGTGTCTGACATTGTTCTTTCAAAGTACGGTTGCTGTTTTAACCTTTTCACTAGCATAATACTTAATGTGTAACATGGAAAACATTTTATGTCGACCACATGTGAGACGAGTCATTGACTCAATGTGTTATCGAATTTAAATAAAGTCTATTATTATTATTATTATTATAAAACCGAAATGTGAAATTTGAGAAAGATCTGTCAAGAACTTCTTGGTGGGGGT